GTGGGGGGGGGGGGGGAATTTCTTGCCTAGGCGAAGACCCTTCCTCATGGAGTTCACTGACATGCCTCGGAGGAACTGAGGATAAACACGAAAAGCTGTAGCCAACATAGCCGCCATGGGATCGAGATTCGAACCCGGACATACCTAATAGAAGGCGGGAGTACTAACTACTAGAACCAACCAGCTCGAAAATTATTTGTAGAACGATTTCTTGTGACAGTTTAATGGAGTCGGTATATTTCTCTGTGCTGTTATCCACTCAACATCAACAAATTTACCGCCGTTGAGTACGTCATATCTAATGAAGAGCCAAGTCTGTGTGTTTCATACTAATATTTTTATTGCACACTACCGTATTGCCTGGAGACGAGCTATCCTGGCAGGCTTTTGTGGGTTTACTCAGTCCCTCCAGTCAAATGCCTGGATAGCCGCTTCCTTCTAAATCCTTACCAGTTCCCTAAACATCCCACATAGTCTTAGTTTCTGACAGCGTCGTTAAATGAGAGGCACACACACAAAAAAAAAAACGCTTCGACTCCCATTAACTTGCATTGATCGGCCGAGTATGATAAGTTGCCCGGTGACTTGTTTCCGTCATTGCCGACACTTGGGAGTTCTCCGTCCATTCGTTCTTTGGCCTTCGGCACGTAACAGTCGTCTTTGTACCGAGCCAGTTACCCAGTTGGAATGGTAAAGCAGAAGTGGAGGATTTATCAAAGCAAGCCTGGGTATGTGCAGTAGTATATAGTGTGCGTATAGTTCTGTGCTGTCAGTAATGTGTTCGTTATTTTACCGTCTTGCTCTGTTCGGATCTTAGAGCTTTGTTTCGCAAACGTGGTCATGCAAGAAACTGATGCTAAGTTACGTGTACATATGTTTAAATGGGACTTCATCGCTTATTCTGTTTTTTTCAATGCGAACGTGAATGCTTATGATCTTACTAGAGAAATTACTTACGTGGTTACTACGTTACATTATTACTGCTCTTACCAGCCCAACATTGGTATCCATTTTACGTGGTAATTAGATTTTGATCACCCAACTTGCAGTGTATAAATCGATTTTGAATTTAATAATTTTTAACCGTAATGGATCACATTAACATTTTCAGTATATGAGATTCCAGAGAATAGCATTCGAAGTAATAACATAGGTGAGAAACCGCTGTAAGTTTACTGGTGTAATCAGCCCCTACACAAATTGTTCTCTTTCATGACAATGAGGATCCACATCATAACACATGTAGGATTGCTAATCGGTAGATGGCGAACTGTTTGTATCTCATTTGTTGCGTAAAAACTAAGTTTATCCAGTAGTTTCTTTATTTTTCAGTAGGACACCAAGGAAATTGACAGTGGTAAAACGATGTTTTGGTGTGAGGTTACTGGAGGAATTGTGTTGGGATAGTCTTCAATAGCAGTAGATTGGGCTAATGAATTAACCATGAGTGTTAATAATCCCTAAATGACAACTTTTATTACGTGATGAAGGAGGTTGTGCAGTTCCATTTTATTTTGTTGGTGAGGTTTTTTCTCTTAAAAAAATAAATATCGTGCAAACATATCCACAAAGACTACTAGATGGTCAGGAAAGAATTTTTGTACACAAACTTCTCAGAAAATGGAAATCTGTTGAGTGTGATTTAGTGTGTTTGTTTCTGTGCTCATACGTTTTGAAGCCAGAAGCAGTGCGATGGCATTGGGAGTAATTATAGAGATATGGAATTCTCTGTATAATTTCCATTAGCTTGTTTGTTTCGTTGTTCACCTGTAGCCATTCTTGATGCACAGCAGCACTAAGCCAATACAAGCAACCCCCTTACAAAAACACATTCAAGTTAATGATAAGTGTTATGAATAACTTAGAAATGAAGGAAAAATTTTCTTATAACACTGTACAGAATTTCAAAAGCAGTATCGCTGTCATGCTTGTGTAAACTGTTTCGCATTGAAATGCGTGCTATCCCTGTACGAGAGAGTTGTTGCCCGTTGGTGTTGGCTGAGCGAACATCCCACAACTTTTGCAACGTCAGTGGTACGAAAGCACTGTCACGAACTGTTGTCATCAGATGGAAATATGTTTGGTTTGCTATTATCATTATCATCATGCACAGATTTCTTACAGGCACATGCTAACCAGCTGATGTCAGTTTATGTTGTATGTCTTCTTTAGTTATAAATACATTTCGTAGGAAGTACACTCTTATATTAAGTGTAGGTTTGGTTCTGAGAACTCTCACAAGTTTTGGTAATCATAATTAAACCATACGCACTTGTGTCATACCTCACAACCCAGGGTCATTAATTAACACCATGGTGCGTAGTCCTTCTTCACATCACACTGATGGTGGAGGCAGTATGACCTCCGAAACGTTGGTTAACATCGACCAGACTACACGGCGCAAGAACCCAGAAGACAGAAATCTTCATACTCATTGCCCTGATGACGGAGGCAGTATGACCTCCGAAACGTTGGTTAACATCGACCAGACTACACGGCGCAAGAACCCAGAAGACAGAAATCTTCATACTCATTGCCCTGATGACGGAGGCAGTATGACCTCCGAAACGTTGGTTAACATCGACCAGACTACACGGCGCAAGAACCCAGAAGACAGAAATCTTCATACTCATTGCCCTGATGACGGAGGCAGTATGACCTCCGAAACGTTGGTTAACATCGACCAGACTACACGGCGCAAGAACCCAGAAGACAGAAATCTTCATACTCATTGCCCTGATGACGGAGGCAGTATGACCTCCGAAACGTTGGTTAACATCGACCAGACTACACGGCGCAAGAACCCAGAAGACGGAAATCTTCATACCCACCGCTGTGAAAACCTCAAATCTTATACAGAATCATAAATGTCAGTCAGAGAAAGCGCAAGCATGCTCTCAGGCCGTACCAGTCATGAAAATGAATTCAAGAAATGTTTTCTTAATGTGAAACGTAAAAGATATTGAATGCCAGACAACAGATCATTTGTTTGTTTTACCCTACTTCTCCCAAATGACATGCCATAAAAAACCATAAAAGCACATTTTTCCTCTTTGAGCAACAATCCAGAGTAATTTTTAGATCATCTTGAATTTAAAAATCTGACACTGGTGTCCAGAAAGCTGATGCAGTGGCTTGTTTTTCCTAAGTGGCACAGTTTGTATACACAAAAAAATGTTGGTGGAGAGATAACCCTGCAAAAATGATCAACTTTTCCATTTCCACTGTTAGACACAGGTGTCAAGGGAGCATAGTGCATCATAAGATATTAAATACAATTTCTTACATTACGAAGATTGTCATTTGAAATGACTAAAGGTTTCTTTGTGGTGCTTGGCAGGAAAACAGAAATCGGAACTATTTTCTGTTGAATTTTAACAAGCATTGCTGGTGCTATTGTACGTGGAAGCCTCATTCTCAGTGTCACGGTTTTCATGCTAAAATTCATTCAAAATTATTTAATTCTAAACTCCTTTACTAGAACCTGAGCTTCAAGAATTATTTGATGGCAGAATTATCTTCCAGATTTATAATTTTGATTTACTTTTTATGCTGGTATTTGAAACATTTGGTTTTAACTTAGAAATGTTTAATTCCTGAAAAATTCTACTTTCATTCACTTATCATAATTGTATCTCTTTGCATGAAACAAGTTCTTCGGACGCTGGCAACTATTATGCTGTAGCTGTACCAGGGTTCGGATAGAAATCTGTTAGTTGTCGGTGCCTCGTATCACATGATTTTCTGTACAACTTTGTAATCATTGAATTTCAGTATGGGCAGAGGGAAGAGGGCATGCTATAGCTCTTTCTGCGAAATGTTCCGAGAGCAAGTGAACACCATCTCTTCCTGGTTCGATCAGTGGAATGAGTGTGAGAGGACTGTGGCTCTTTACTCACTCATAAAACGCGTCACTCATGTCAATGCCCGCTTCCTGTCACTTGTCTTGGACCAGACACTTGGCGACTCTCACGAACTGCAGCTTCACGAGCAACAGGCAAATAATCCAGGTACACCACTACTCAAAACAAAACATTACTGTGTCAGTTGTCGCTCTAGCATGATAATGATAGTATATTTACTAAAACTTTGTTGGTAAGTTGCTTTCATGTCAGTTCATTCGTAAGTATGAAAATATATATAAGTATAGCTCCTCTCTTCCTTGACCTCGGCACTAGATGGGGGTGAGTGGTCAGCATCACGCCCCGGCCGGCTTTACCCCCGGGAAAGGACCCCGGTACCCATTGTAGAGGAGGCTGGGTGGGCCCCAGAGCCGGTCTGGACGCAGAGGCTAGAGGAAAAATCCTCTGCCCCCGTCGGGGATCGAACCCCGGTCGTCCAGCCCGTAGCTAGTCACTATACTGACTGAGCTATCCCGGCTCTAACATTGTAATGTAGTTAAAGGAATATAAATGTAGCCAGCCACAGCAGTCGGCAGATTTGTTGGGCTCTCGGACCATATAGGGAGAGGATCCTACTTCTTTTCTGTTGAAAGTTCCTCCTACTGCATTAGAAATCGCATCATCAAGACTGTACTTTCCATCCAAGGAAGAAAATGATTAAGGACTATTACTTTCTTGACATGTGACAGATATGTTTGTGCAGTAAATTTTAAATGAAATGTGTGTTTGTTTTAGGATGATATTCTGTTGCAGGGTTTGTAAGCAGTTTGCCAGCCGAGAGTGATGCAGCAATAGCCCAACTTCTGCTGCATGTTCCACTTCTGCGCCCAGGGAACAATGAAACCAAAGCTCGTTATGTGACTATAATACATAAAGTTCTGAGCCACACTGTTGAGACCGGTGCTCATATCGACAAGGCTCGACAGCTGCTCTCGTACAGCCTCATCCACCCAGCTTTTAATGGGGAAGACAGGAGGTATGTAGAACCTAGACACTCTGTACATGGCATACATTGTATGATAATTGCAACTATAAATTCCATTATTTATTTTCATTGCTTTAAAATTTGCTACATTTGTATGTCATTCCAAAGGAGAAGCTAGAAATATTTTGAAAAAAGGTATTTGTTATATTTTAAAAATATATTAAAATTGGCCGTCAATCACAATATAAGGTAGTTAAAAGATTAAAATATCATTTTACGTTCCTTATCGAGTACTCGATTTACATGTGGAACATTTACGACATGTTTCGGCTATATATAGCCGTCATCAGATGTTATATTATAAACTTTTTAACTGAATTACTGATTTTTACTGATATTTAATGATTTTTAGTTTTCATTTTTCTTATCATGTTCTCGTCCTTCATATTGTATCTTCATCCGTTGTTGTGTCGTATGTCACTTATATGATTGTATTTCGTAGTGATGCCAATGATATTTTAATCTTTTAATTATCTTATATTGTGATTGACGGCCAATTTTAATATATTTTTAATATTTAATAAATCACAATATGACGCACTTACAATATCGTATTTGTTATAATCTTCTGAATCCTGTGGACATTTTGCTATGTAAATGAATACCGACTGGGTCATTGAAACCCTTGCATGCTTGGTCAAAAGTGTGCTTTATGGTATTTGTGACTACTAGAAGACTTGATATATGTTTTTGGAAGGTGTTCGTGATTCTGCAGGGCATTACTAAACAAGAAGATGACTTCCAGAGAACTACCTATATCTCGACTGCTCTGCTACTTATGTATTTATCACCCGCCCTGCAGATTGTGAACAGTAACTGATAGATTTATGTGAAATTCATTTTTATTATCATCTAGAAATATCAGCATGACATCTGGGAAAACTTGAGATCAGTTTTTTAAGTGAATGTCATGTGGTGTTGGATCATTAGCCCTCATGATTTCTGTAGTTGGCAATGTACTATTTTCAGCTTAATTCTAAATACAGCTTAAAATTACGGTGTAATTTTTTTAATGTAGGATCATTTTAAATAATGAACCCCATTTAAGGTCTATTTATTTATTTATTTAACAGATGACTTTATTTTGTTCTTTTAATACATTTTTAGGGATGTCAGATCAAACCTAAGAGAGAACTAGAAAGGACTGAATATTATGCAAGTTTTGTAAAGGTATCTTCTTAAAAAGAAAGAAGTAACATGGTCACTGGCAAAATAGTATGATATATTATGAATTGTAACTTCCTGATCTTGTGGAATGTGCGTGTGGTGTTTTTTATGTTATGGAACAGTTGACTCATTGCTCACTCACCTGACATTAATTTAAGAGGTCTTTATGTACATTCTAGATTTGTGGTTTACTTCCAGGCAAATGCCATGAAAGGCCACTTTCTCTCCACTTTGCTGTCTGTGGTCATCCTCTTGTTTCATTTACTATTGAATAACCCTTGCATGTGATACATTGTCAGTTGTACTTACGCTGTGAGTGTCATTGAAACAACCAAACTCCACATCGGCCTCTAGTTCCGTTAATGCTTGTTGTCATTTTACTTGGGCATGTGCTTTGCCTTGTGTCGGGTATTCTTGAGAAACCATAATTTCAGGTCTTTGACATACTGGTTGAGGCTCCTAGAAGCCCGGATCACAAATGGAACCACTCGAATGATGCCACCGACAGTGTGTGACTCGCCTCAGCACCAACAAACCACTATCATGTGGGGGCAGCAACAGCAGCGGAGTAGAGGAAGTGGTGGAAATGATGTGACTCTTATTAATGGGCACTGTATCGTGCACAGCTGCAACTCGGCACCGTCCATTGCGTCTCTCAATAAGTCAGGTTTCACAGGTGCGGTAAACTCATTATGGATCGAGATCTTGACCCGTTGTGGATAAAAGGTTTAAAACTGTTACTTACGTCTTTTTGTTGGGCGTCACTGGCTACTACTTGTCCTCTGCAGTTCATATTAGTATAATACAAGCTGTGTGGCTACAGTGGTGGACACAAGGAATACATACTGAATTTTGATGGAGAAATCTCTTGTAAAACATTTACTTGAAATACCAAGGAGATTAGAGAATAACATTATGATGGATTGACTAGTTATTGTAACTTATGTGCGCTTCCTTTAGGCACGTGTTGCAGTAGCATATCACTAAATCGTTAAACCCCAGTCCTGTAGTGTGGGGATTTAGAACAGCTGTTTTTGTATGATAACGATTGAGACAGGTTTATAGGATGGGGTAGTACATGTAACTGGTTGAGGTCATATCATGGGTCTGGTATTAGTAATGCTGAATTTTAATGTTCTGCTACAGCAATATTTGTTTATGTCTACTGTTGCCAGTACTTTAATATAGTAAACTCTCATCAGACATTGTGGTCATGGTCCCTGAGAACAGTACGTAAGGTAGATCTACATTCGATAGATCTTCTCAGCACGTTAACTTTATCGACTATAGAGATTGTGTGGTTGTACTGCAACTGCATTTTTAAGCACCATTTACCTAAGTCAGTTGCTTCTGTTGCTCACATGGAGTAATTCTAGACTTGTGCCTGGATTGTAATTGGTAGCACTCGTGCAGATTTAAGCTGTTCTTGACCAGTAGTTGAGGAATGAGAAAAGCATCAAAATGTATATTACAACAATTATGTTAATGTCACTAGAGAGCATGTATGTTGTCTTGTGTTAGCCAAACTCTTTTCTTCCAGATGCCATTGGTAACTACTCCAGTAGTACTCATCCTCGTGTGCGTAGAAGCAATAGTCTCACACCTCCAGTCAGTATTACGCAAACTTCAGACTTCTGGAGCTCACAGGTATGTTCGAGTTCTCCATGGATATTTATCTCCTTGATTTAAATAAACTAATTTGCGTTATCAAGTGCATTCATTTCTCACTTGAATGATAAAGAAGGATATGGAGCAGTTATGGCCTATTTTAAGGTGCTCTCAAAATTTTTTGTGAAAGTCATAGTAAAACTGTGAAAACCCCCAGTTGGTGTAACTAGTCTTGGGCTGAGATTCCAAATTCAGATCTCCTGAATACGAAGTAGCAGCACTAAGAACAACGTTGCTTAACTTGATGGTTGGATATTGTTTAGTATTGGGGAAGTTAGACTTGCATAAACATTTTGTTGTCAGTCCCTTCTACGATGCATTGCTTCTCTGCGTAACAAAAATGAAGCAGTTAAAATTTTCTAAGTCTGAAACTGGAGGTGATGTAAGTTTACACCATATATCGTTATACCAGTTCTTCACTATATCCTTGTATTTGTCCAAATGAGCTTTAGAGCTTTATTTATTATTTAGTGTTCTGTCTGACGACAGGTCCATATGAACAGGATCCTTCAATCCTTTTCTCGGACTGGGACCTGTTCATATACGTTCTTGGCAGATGATCCAGAAGTGGTTTGCCATTGCCTTCTTCTGTGTGTGAATGGAGTAATTGTTGGGATGCCACGGAGGAAAACTCCGTGTTGCCTAGACCACGGCCTTGCCCGACACAAGTTATAAATTCGGGCACCGCCGGGAATCGAACCCGAGACCCCAGGATTACAAGGCCAGCGTTCTAACCGCTAGACCACCGTGGCTATCTCTTTAGAAGTTCCTTACATTAATTACAATTATTTATACCAGATGTCTGTTAAACAACGTCTTCGTTATCTTTGTCTCATTTTAAGGAAAGCATTAATTAATGTTGCGGACTTTCTCAAGGTATGTGACTGGGTTCACTGTAAAAATGAAGGTGAAGAAAATACTTCAGTTGGACATCTATAGTCACTGCTAACAAAGTTGAATGGATAGAAGATTAGCATTGATGGAAAGATCGCGCGCTCAAGTTCGAATCCTATGTTGGAATGTTTTAATGCACATGTATTCACACAAATACTCATTTAAACTATGCAGCTGTGTGTTACTCAGTTATAAGTTTTAAGATATCCCTTGAAACTCATACCAAGAGCAATTAGACATGGGTACCGAACTGTAGATTGTGATATTTGAAAGAGAAGGTGAAATCGTCGTTTGACTGTAAAGCGTGCGTAGTCCGGTAACTTTGTTATTGAGCAAAAAGTTACCATCATTATTATCTCTTGCATTGTGACTATTATTTGTGCTGCTCTGGCAAAGCTGAAAGTACAAGGGAAGTACGTATTTGTTTTATTTTTCCGTGATTTTATGTTTGTTGTAATTCTGATTTAAATGTTCTGTGTTTGAATCTGACTGTAGACAAACAGTTTTATTTGCAAAAAAGTACTTCAAAACCATTTCTGTTTCATAAAATATACTGGTTACATATACAAAATATGGCTTCATATTGTAGCCCTTGAAAGGTTTATTTTCAAGACCTGGCATTTTTAATGTGTCAAAAATTCCTGAACGTCAATCATGGATTGCATCAGTCTTGGCATTCACTCAGAGATCAAACATAACGATGAGATGAATGAAGTTTGTGGTTGAAGGTCAGGGATTATGAAAATCTTATTAAAGATACCATGTTTTAAAACAGCCCTTTGAAGGGCTAACATACTAACCCATATTTTGTATATGTAACAGATAAACTTTATGAAGCAAAAACACTCCCTAAGTATGTGTTTTTCCAAATACTGCTATTTGTGTATTTGTGTATGGAACCTTAAATCAAAATGCCAATGAACAACGAATCAAGCAAAAATTAAAGAACTGTCTCCTTCCCTCACACTTCTAGCCATGCCAATGCAGCACACGTAATATAGTGATACTGTGGGTAGTAATGCTCAGTAAAGAAAACTATTCTCTTTCAAATATCATAATCTGCAAATTGTGCGAGTCCATTTCCAGTTGCTCTTGGTATGAGTTTTACATGGAAGTTTCGAAGCATGCAGGTACATATTAATGAGTATTTGTGTGACTCATTAAGGAAAAATACGGACATCTGGTCTTGAACTTATAGACATGATTTCTGCATCAACACTAGTCCCCTGCTCTATTAACTTCTTCTGAAAGAATAAGGACAACACAGTGAAATATACCTTTCATCTCCAATTTGCCACTGGACTTTATTGAACAACTCTGAAAATTCATTAACAACAATTTTGTATGTAAGATTTGAGGTTTTCACAGCAGAGAGTATGAAGATTTCCGTCTTCTGGGTTGTTGCGCTGTGTAGTCTGGTCGATGTTTACCAACGTTTCAGAGGTCATACTGCCTCCGTCATCAGAGGATGAAGATTTCTGTCTTCTGGGCTGTTGCGCTGTGTAGTCTGGTCGATGTTTACCAACGTTTCAGAGGTCATACTGCCTCCGTCATCAGAGGATGAAGATTTCTGTCTTCTGGGCTGTTGCGCTGTGTAGTCTGGTCGATGTTTACCAACGTTTCAGAGGTCATACTGCCTCCGTCATCAGAGGATGAAGATTTCTGTCTTCTGGGCTGTTGCGCTGTGTAGTCTGGTCGATGTTTACCAACGTTTCAGAGGTCATACTGCCTCCGTCATCAGAGGATGAAGATTTCTGTCTTCTGGGCTGTTGCGCTGTGTAGTCTGGTCGATGTTTACCAACGTTTCAGAGGTCATACTGCCTCCGTCATCAGAAGACAGAATTCATCGTCAATTTTGTATTCAAATTAGGCAGAGTTATTGATTTACATCTTTACCTAATAGACATTTGGCATAAATATGACTGTAGTTAATGAAATGTAGAGAAAAGCTGCACGCAGACATATACAAGGATATTATTTATGAATAACTGGAATTATGATGCCAGTTATATACTTACATCACTTCTGGTTTGCTGGGACTGACTGGGCTTGATTTTTGTTATACAGAATGTACCTTCAGGCAGCCTCATACCAAGAAACTTCCTTCCCCAAATGAGGTAATTGGTGATTCCTCATCTACTTGTTTGTCCCTCTCTGCAGCTTTGTCACCTGTGTTGACAGGACTGCATGTTTCTTTAGTGGCCATTCTTGGCTGCAGTCAGAAGATCATCGCAGTTTACAAAGTCTTTGGATTAATTTTTTGGATTATTTGTTACCTTGTTTTAGTCTTCTATTTTTTTTTGTTATCAAAGCATGTAGCTGGCTGTTCAGAAGTGTTAACAAATCGCAGTTTTCTGAAGTATCATATAATGGTCATTGAGCATACTGAATTTTGCAAAGACTTTTATCATCTGCATTGCACCATATTTCAGTTCTTCCTTTCTAACAGTAACTGCATTCTCAGATGCCATTTACTCCTGTTACGCTGAAGTTGCAATTGTGTTACAACAGCACAGACTACAGATTGCTATCACTGCTCAAACATGGTAAAACTGTAAGAGAGTAGTTGAACGCAGCAAAAGTTTGGGACAGTACATCACGGGATATTAACCACTGAGGTGTTTCAGCTTACATGTAGTTGATTACTGCTGTTTTTTCTCACATTTCTTACATATTTTGTCATGTAAAATACTACCGTGCAGTTCATTTGAAAACAGGTGACTTAATTGATGGCATGGCAACCCCATTATAGGATTGAAAGATTGAACAAAATTATGGTCAATGTGTTCTAGGATGACCTGTCTGGCAGACAGAAGCCACGCAGTTTCTCACTGTCTTCAGAACATGCCCCTCCCCTCTCTCCTCAGAGCTCACTGGCCTCCTCAGGAAGTGGTTCTCTTGATGAACTACGCTCAGGATTCATTTCAGATGCTTGTGGAATGCGTGGTTAGTATTGACGCTTGTTGGTTTTGTTTGCAAAGCAGCAGTTGGTGTGTACTCTGTTGTAATGCCCTGTAGTCTTGAAAAATGGTTAACAATATTTCAAAGGAACATTGGTAACCAACCACCGACAAGACTACACAGTATCACAACCCAACAGACCACACTTTTGCTGCTCTGAATGTCTCTATCTCTTATTGTGGTTTAAGTTCAAAATTTATACTTGATCCATCTGCCTCTGAGATGTTCCCGAATATAATTTTTTTATTTTGTGTATATTTTAATATTTGTTTTCACATATATTTCATAGCAAAGTCATTCAGTATAATCAGTCCAGTTATCCATGTTATATCCTTCATATCTTATATCCTCTATTCTCAAAATATGGTCTTTTATGTCTTCATTTTGGTGTATCTTCAATAGTTTTCCTCCAGCATATCATAGAACCAGAGGATATATATGTACAGAGAGAGAGAGAGAGCGAGCGAGAAAGGCACACAATTTTTCCTCTTAGTAGAATTTCAGTATGGTGAACATTTTTAAAAGTGACTGGTTCTTGCCAGCATATCGAGTGTGCCTACAAATGCAGTAGTAGAAAATGAAAATGAATCCACATTAATAATTGTTTTGACAGCTCTCCACACCATATAATGGTGCTTAAGGGCAGGGTCATCTTTGTATTTTCTACCTTTTACTGTAAATCAGATCTAAAACTTCTTGACGATGGTGAAGAGTCAATTGAATAAAAATTTTCTTGGATATTATCCATCGTCTAGTAAATGTAAAACGACGTTTCGGAGATGGGACTCTATCTCCATCTCCAGGTTCCTACACAGTTGGGCCCACTAGATAGAGCTAATCCCTATCTCCGGACAAAATAAAAAGTGAAAGTCCCAGAATAAAAAGGCAGTACCACACCATCCATCCGTGGGACGTAAAAGAATAGTATGTAAAATCAAAATTCATAAACACGATAAAGCCAAAAAAAATAAAAACTCACAAAAAAGGTGGGAATAAATACACATGAATATTAATACGAAACTCGATGCCCAACTTGGATTTCTTCGGAGATTACAGGTATCCAAATAGGAGATAAATCCAAACTAGGCTGGCTGATAGGGTTGGCGAGTAGTGCCATGTGTGCTGCCTCCTTATATTTTCTGTAGATGGTATTAGGTTCTGTTAATAATACTCTGGTTCCATCCATTATATTTACTAGACGATGGATAATATCCAAGAAAATTTTTATTCAATTGACTTTTACTGTAACATCGTTACACCTTCAGCGGATAAGCATTTGTTTGGGTCATAGTTGCAGTATGTACTCAAGAGAGTCTGCTTCCAATTTGCAAAGATTATAGAAATCTATTTTTTATCTCGTGCATTGTTCAGGGTGTTTTACAACCGCTCTGCAATACATGTGGATGGTGGGGTGATTCAGGCGGTAATTTCAATTGAACATTTTGCTTTAATACGATGTTGATCCTATTTCCAACCATGTGGAGCTGCGGAGGTTCAAGGTGCACACACAGAAGAATATAGACTCTACCATCAAGCGTCCTTCATAATTTTTAGGCTTATTATCATGTCGGTTGCACAGATTGTTGTTATGATATTCTAAATTATTAAATCCGTGTTAATGTGAAGTCTGTGGCGATGGTACCTCTGATACTGAACCTTGCTATTGGTATGGTCTGACTTCATATCTACACAACCAATTTCCCTGTGACCCATTTTACTTTTCTTTATTTTATCATCTCCTTATTGATCTTTGGTTTGTAACATAGAATTTTATTCTGCTGATGATTCTGAGATGTACTGATTGAAGCTATGCTAGGTCGGATGTAAAAGCAAATTCATATCGTCTTGCAGATGTTCCATCATGGCTAAAGTCATTACGACTTCACAAGTATGCACAGTTGTTTGCGCAGTTGAGTTATGAGGAGATGCTGGCGCTCACAGAAGAACAACTTGCTGCTCAGGGTGTCACTAAGGGCGCTCGACATAAAATTATCATCAGCATTCGTAAGCTAAGGGAGCGCTACAACACACTGTGTCAGTTGGAGAAGGTATGAAGAGACTTGATCTATATTTGGTCGATTTTAGAAATTTCTAGAAAGGCAGTGACTTGTGCCATATGGATTGTTCAGAGTAGGGACACTGTGGCTCTTAAGACTTTTGAATTGAAACTCTAGAAATTGAAACTGTATATTTCTGATGAGACACTGTAAGGCAGTGGTCCCCAAGGCCGCCAAGGCTTTTTTTGGGTGCCTGCGTTGTTACGGAAAGAGGTTATACTGAATAATGAAGGCAGTTCAACCACGAACATTATAAAATCGAAGCGCAGATCTCGACGATTGTTTGCGAGCAGCAACATCATCCTACACTCCCAAATTTGAAAAACTGGCCGATGAAATGCAGTGCCAAACATCACACTAACTTCCCACTTGAGTAATAATAATTGTACTTATAAAAGTACGTATTTTTGATTGCGTGGTTTCTTGTGTCATTAAACGTCGTGTTGTTTTGTGTATTATGTGGTGTCCATATCTTATTTGTCCAAAATTTGGCTTTATTAATTGGTTGGTGCCCGCCACAACCATATAAACTCTCAAATGTGCCCGTAGGCGTAAAAAGGTTGGGGACCACTGACGTAAGGTATCAGAAATATGTGATGAACAGTGTAAAGTATTACCAGCTCCTGATTTAATATAGTTTTTGATGTTGGTCTTCTGGGTTGTGATGCTGTTTGGGCTTGTAGGTTAGTACCAGCATTTTGTATATTTTTACAATCCACTTTTGTAAAAAAGAATTTTATTCCTTTTGTAGCATTAATTTGTCTTTCATTATTTATGAACAGTATTACCAAACAATTGACCAAACTCACAGGTAAGACAAAGTTAGAATTAAAAATATTGTTTGATTTCTAACCTGTTTAATATAGGAAGTGGTTGAAGGTAACAACCTGGCTGCAGCTCTGGAAGAGTTAAAGGCAATTCTACTGTCGCCAATCAAAGCTTCCCATCGTGATGACAAGGAGAGAGATGAGACTGAATTTGGTAGTGATGTGAAGATCACTGATAATGGTACTGCTGGCAGTAATGTAGAAAATACTGGCAGTGACTTCATACTTGCACCGAGTGACTCGGACACCGCAGTTCCTGATGAAGACATCCCAGTCAAGTTCACTAAAGTTATGGGCAAAGGTAGGAATTGGAAATGGGCAAAAGCATGGTGCTTCCTAGGCTCACGAACGTCCTTCACATAAATTTATTTTCACATCCTGAATTTTCCCGTTATATCATAGGGTGGATTGCATTATTTAATCTCTAAATAGGGGTTGGCAGCTTTATCATTACTGTAGGCTACAGTCGCTATTCATATCTTCATAAAGAGCCACAGAAAGAATTAATGACATACACCAGAGTTAATAATAACTTCTCAGTAAGCCTGATTTTTACAAAAACAAAAAACTTCTTCATGAAAGAGAGGGGAATGTTTCCAAACTTAATATGAGAAGGATACTGTGGTAACAAACCAATCCCAGGAATTCTTTTCTATATTATTGAAATGTTATTTAACTTTTAAATGGTTATCGCACTCACTAAGTTTATGACTAAAAATACCAACTCGAGATGTAACCCATATTTTAGACTCTTGAGTCAGTCCTTGATATATAAATTTTTATTTAATGTGGAATTTTTCAGGAAAGCGGGTGTTATATTAATGCTTTTACAGAAAGTCTGAGAACGCTGTAGGTAGAAAGGGAAGTATAATTTTTAATCATAGCTGATGGTTAAGAAATGTGGAAGCAGGGCCTTCATATTACAAAGATTTTTGATATCTTCCGTTCATCACTGTAAACCTAATTTATTTTTCGTATGATATGTGTTTTAAAGTACGCGTTTATTTATCTGTGTATGCTCTCTCATATGTCAGGCATTGTACTCCCATGTTTCGTGTGTTCTACATTATCTGCTGTCATCAAGGATCATTGCTGTATTGATCCCTTCGGTTTTGCTGTTGTGTTACAGTGTAATGTTCACATAACTTTGCGTAGGATGAACTTAACTTGTAATGGTGATTTTTGTTGATGTGTCCAGTATGCACTCAACTTCTGGTGAGTAATCACACAGAAGAAGAGACAGTTCGCTTATTTATGTGGCTGTTGGATCACTCACTACAGCATGAAGCATTTACTACACAGCAGAAACGACGGCTGAGTTCATGGAGACTCCAGATTCAGGATGCATGGCATCTGTCCCCTTCTCAACACAAAGCCAGTGACCAGCGTCACGCCAGGCTAAAGTGAGTTCAGTTTCAGATACAATGCTTTCTTCCTTAAAATGAATCGGACTTCATTTGTAGGTGCACTCGACTAAAGGTAACAAAATTGTTGTTCCTATTAACTTTTCTAGTGAACCAGTTTTTTCACTATGATCTAAAAATGTCGCTAGCCTTATTTTAACATTGCATTAAAGTTTACTAACAATTCCTTTTAATTACAGATGTTTTTTCAGAGAAATGTTTTCCTAAATTATTGTGCTAAAGAAGATTTAATTCTGGGGACATTTCATGAAAATTTAATGAAATAAAATTTTACTCTACATTCTCTTTATCAAATGTTGTTATATCTCTTAAGTGGCTTTGGGGATAAAATGTATTTGCAAAGGGGTAGATGATTTCGCTGTTGTACAAATCTTCATGAGTGGTTTCCACCAAAATGCACTGCCATACTTGGTAGTGCTCAGTGTCAGAGCATTTAGACTGCGTACTCTCAGCTTTATATTCAGGCAAGATGACAGCGTCCTTTTTCCCCTTGACCTTGCTACCTGGACTTTGGCACTGTTAACTCAGAGTAATAGATTGACAGTGGACACAGTAAGAGTAACAGTATTATTGATGGTTGTCTGCAGATCATGAATGGGCGTTGCATTTTTTATATTTCACAACTACATATGCTTGGGTTAAATTTATAAATGTTTATTCCTAGTGTTGATGCATTATTTTGTAGAATTTTCTCCTTTCAGAGGCGCATGATCTTGCAGTTCTACTCTTTTCATGTCCTAGCACTGTTGATGCTTAAATAACTTCTTATTGATGGTATGAATATAGAAATTATTGTGTTTCTGCATATTGCGTGTTATAGGTGGCATCATCACAGTCAGTTCTCTTCTGGGACGACAAATGGTTATTCCCATTTACACGGAAACCGGGGACAGAGGTTCCCCCCTCCTCAGCCCATTGGCTGTGGTAACTATCACCACCGTGGCACGAGCGCCAAGCCTGGATTCACGTTGTCATATCCATCGGGTCCTCTTGGGCGGCAACAGCAGCAGCACTGCAGTAGTCTGTCCATGCTGGGAGCAGGTGTCTCCTTCATGGCGAAGAGACCAAGCTTACAGGATACACTTCCAGAGGTCAGATAATGACAACTGTTACTCAGCTTGTCCTTGCCAAGTATTGTAGGTTCTCTGAGTTCATAAAGTATTCAGTCGGTACGAAAATCTATTTTAGAATCATTACATTATTTAAGTTGAACGACTTTCACATAAGAAAATCAGCGTAATGTAAGAAGTTTAATATTTTTCTCACAAGAATAGAGTTTATTTCATAAAAGTCCCCTTCAACATGGGGGGATGTAGAAAGGGCTCTCAAGTTTTTCTTTCCGTCCCGTAAACTTCTTCCACTCTTATGTCATTTCTGTTGCCATCTTTTTCTTCTTCACAACTGCTCCACTTTGCATGCAGAACACCTACCACATTAACATAATCACCACTTTATAATCATCCGGATCTGCTACGTCTGTTTTTTTACAACACTTTTGTCCCCCTTCTTCTAGGTTTATGAATTTCTTAGTGTAAGACATTAGGTTTATGAAACTCCTGTCTCACCAGAAAGGATCTTTCCTATTCCTGTCCCACGGTTTTGGCCTGACTTCCAACTTGTGTGTCTCTACAGGGAACTCAGAAATGAAGTCCAATCTATAATAGACCCTGTTCACAATACGTGTACTCATCTTGCCACCAGTGCCTTTTGCACCAGCTGTCTAGAGAGTCTATATGTGGAGTTGGAAGAGCCCCGACTGTCACGGCATAGGGATTTTCTTTGCATCTATGTTGAAAAACTGGCAACTCGACTCAAGCACTCGGCATACGCAGCTGTATTTCATCCCACAATCTGTGGCAGATAGGAGCTCCTTGACCTGTGGGTGTTTGCCTTCAAAACCTACAAGGACTTGACATACAGTTGCCTTGTAGTGTTCCCATTACACCCCCAAGAATTGCACCTAATGTATCATACACCCTAATGGCAATCTCAACTCATGAGATACACAGGAGGTGGTATTTTGTAGAACTGCCCTTCTGCATATCTGGACCATGCGGTGCTCATCTCTAGCGGTTTTCCGCGACTTTTGCACCTTCCTGTATCGCGAAACAAATGGGATAATCCTCAGGGAAACAAAGTGCATATTCTGAAGCCATCTGTGCAGGAGCGGCAGTCATCTTTGAGTGTTGTCAGGAAGGAAGAAGTCACACCCATCTGCCTCCAGATGTCATACGCACCTGACACATGGTCGTTTGTTGTTGATAAGCCGGCGCCTGTCATTAGAAAATGTGGTGTCCAACTTACTGTGGTGCACGTCCTGGTGGACTGTCCATTTTATGCTGAAACCTGGGATATCTGTCATCTTCACGTGGCTCACTATCTGACGTGCTTGGTGATGATCGGTTTAGCATCTCTGATATTTTATGCCTTCTCAAAGGTGACATAGACACTGTTTGTTGGTATTACGGTCTCTTACCATTTAATAATATATACACCACCAGATCTCCTGGTATTTTAACTATTAAATTACTGCTGTGCAAAATTCACGCACCTTTTGAAAACCTTGAATGTCTTGGAATAGGCAGAATGTGGGTGAGACGTGCAGACTTCTAGCAAATAGTGGGAGGGACTTCTGGTTTCAAATAAGGGATCCTAGTATGCAAGCAGTTGCAAGTTAAAGAGGTTATGTAAGTTGAGAACGTCTTTAACTCCTTGATTCATATAATGCTAAAGACATCAAGAATGTAGAATTATTCTTTGTTATTTTCATGTCTCCATAGTAACCTCTCCAGAAATAAATAAATATTACTTGAAGTGCATTAATATCTCTCGCGCTTTAGTGCTATGTTGCGATATATGTAATTAGAAGTTAGGAGACAGAATTGAAGATGATGTATTTCAACGATCAAGTTGCATCACATATTGAAAGTGTTTAGAGCACATAAAGTGTGCGAATATCTTAGTGATGATGTGATAAAACTTTAAAACATTTTTATATATTAATTGTTTACAGCTGTTCCATCTCTAGCACATAAAATACTCATTAAAAAATTGTTTGCTGCATTTAGGCATTATAGTTTGTTGTGGAAACAAAATTGTCTTCTTGTTTGTTTCTTGGTTTAGAGCAAGATTCGTAGTTGTCGTGAACAGACCGCTTCTGTATTAAAGTAAATGCTCTCTGATTCCAGCCTCTGCAGCTGCATGCGTCGCTGCAGAGGACACGTTCAGCTCCGCCAAAACCCAACAACTTCTGCGGCTTAAGTTTTGGGCCCGGAACAAAATGCGCAACTCCAGAAAGTAACTCGAGTGCTGTCGATCCAGAAATCAACTCGCGTTTGGAATCACTCTGCCTTAGTATGACTGAGCATGCTCTGGGTGGCTGTGGAGAGGTATGAACTTAAACTTATTCTGACATTCAGAGGCATTCAGTGGGCTACCTCACCCTGTGACATTGCGCCGGCAACATCTTCGTATGCTGTCTGGCGCAACTCGTACGTGAAACATCTCAACAGTATTTATGTGTGCAATAATGCTGATTTTTAGTCATTGTTACCAGTAGATGATTCACAAAGCTTCTCCGTCTGTTTGTCTCTGAAGAAAGTAGTTTCACGCTTTGCGAACGTCAGTTCAGTCGCTCTACAGTGCTCGTCTCAATTAACAGTGATAAGATTAAAATGGTACTGGAACTATTATTGAAACATCATTCACACTTGATGAGAGCCTTAATTGGTGCACTGGATATCAACTTTGGATGAAATTATTTTGTTAACAGTGTCCCTAGTGGTTGTTACTACATGCTGACAGGATCAGACATATACATTTTTTTTAGCCATTTTTGTATGAATAATTGTATCGCACTTTTTACGCCAATTATGTATGTCAAGTATATCTTAAAAAGGTGGAAAGGTTCTAGTTTTTGTGAGATGGGAATGGATTGTCTTAAGTTTTAAGAGCTTTTGGTTTGTCTAGGAACGATACTTGGCCTGCTGCACCGTAGCTAAGTTCTGAGTGAATGTAGTCGGTTTGTTTTTGTTTGTCGTGACGTAACTGGGGATTTTCTGTTGCCCAAGTTAAAAACTAGTTCTTTTTTCATGTTACTATTATAAAACTGGGGTAAAATAATTTTTTTTATGCTTCTGTATTTTATATGTTTGTTACTATTATAACCAGTCTTTTACATTTCTCAGTGAGAAAAGTAGTGGTATTGATAGAGACGGAGTCAACGCAGTGACATATTCATTTACTAACGTTTGTTTACGTAGGTTTAGTTTATGGAGGTTAAAAATCTTTATGATAATTACTGGGGTTATGCATTCAACATTTTAAAATAACTCAAGATTTGAGCAATCCGTTTTCCAGTGGCAGCTGAAAGTTAACGTATATTTTCAGGCATTGTAATTTAATTTAAATTCTTTAGTAGAGAAGATGGGCACGTTTTAATATTTGCTCACATGTAAAGTGGTCGCAAGATTTCTGACGGATCTTACACTAGCTTCAGTACCATAAAGCTGAATGCACACGCTACATTTAAGACTGATTCTTCGTGTCGGCCCAGTGGTGATCAGATTGCCAGTACTTTTAAACCCCGAATGTTTATTATTTGGCTCTTTTTGATGTGTACGTAGCTTCTTTAGTCTTTCCTAATCTTTTTCTTTTCTTTTACACAATGGACTTTGAGAGGAGTGTTTGGAAGATGAAATATGTAACTCTCGTAACCATTATATATTGTATATTTGTGATGTGGCATCACAGCGTAAGACTGAGATTTTTGAATATCTTGTGAAGGAGTGTAGCAAATAGAATGTTTAGCTGGGGTTAATTTCTGTGCATACTTGTGAATTTGTATTCCGTGTATCGATGGTAATTTTGCTAGGTAAATAATGCTAGCATGGTTTCTGGCTGAAATATTAATTTTTGAGGCATTTGTGTTCCTGCATTTGTTGTAAAGGCTTCAAGAAAGCTTATAAAACATTTGAGATATCTTGGCATATTAGAAAACGAAACTAGAATGAAATAGCGATAACTAATTTAAAAGTTTCAATAAAATAACACTTAGTACAGAGACGCATAGGAAGATTACGTCCAAAGTCATACAAACAATAAGAAAAGCCATTTTTTGCTCATATCACTGTATTATCATATTTAATATTCTTAATATCTCCTGTGAATTTATCAAAATGCAACTTCTACTGGTTTATGCATTAAAAGTTCTGTTTATTATACTGTACTTCTTTAGAAAGCAGTTTAAATCGAACGTGGAGAAATTTCTTTCATATCTTAATCCCCCACTCTTTATTTTTTTTATTTTATCTTTTCGTACCTTCCCTCTCCTGTGCGTGTTTATCATCCCTTCGATATCTGGCTCCTTAGTGCTTCTCGCCATTCCTTGTTACTTTACCCTTTAACACATTACATTTGAATTTCTTTAAGCATAAGGAAATAACTTAACCACAATTTCCAATTTGAATATATTAAAGACTAATATAATACCCTGTTAATATAAATCTGAAACACTTTATTTGTGTAAAAAAATGTTGGTCAAAACATGCCGTTACAGGAGTACCATAATTTCAGCTTTCTTTCATTGGTCCTCTTCTGACATCAAATGTAAACTCTCATGCAAATTATGAAACCAGTAGGAATTAAATCGGAGATAGTCTTAGATTCTTTCCTTGCATGTTTTAATACATAAAAGTATGAAGACAGAATATATAATAATACAGTAACTTTAATAAAATAAACATTGAATGTAGTGTTTCTTATGTGCTTCTGTGTATGCTTTTGAAGACAACTGAATTCAGTTTAACGTTGTGGTATAATAAACAGAATTTTTAGAGCATGGTGACTTCTATTGTCCTTGACGTGATGTTTGAAACATTTTCATAAATCAGTTTGTTCTTTAAAAGTGAATGTTTGTTAAAATATATTTACATAACTGTGTGTGCAATTACTTAATGTTTTTTATCAAGTCATGTACAGAAATATCAGAAATGATTAAAGGCACATATACGCATAACTAAACTTTTATCAGCTGGAAGGGAAATCCATTTGCCATATGCACTTTAAATGGGACTCTATCGTCCCCTTTCGTCATGACATTATTTAAAGCTTAAACATTCACAAGAGACCGATGTGTGTTTAAAATCCTTCTATATGTTTCTTGTATTATCAGGTATGAAATTTTGAGTCACGCACTTTAAAAGGGTGGATTTACATATTAACATCCGCCTGAAATTTGAAAAAATCTCGAAATTCTTATAGTTCCCTGCAAGCAGCTGTTTCTTTTTTTGTCCCACAAAACATCAAAATCAGATAAATATCTAAAAATGCTTCAGAAGAATGTCATATTTTCTCATGCCTTTCACAAATCCGTACCCATACCTGCCGATTCCGTAAAGCTGTTAGTACTTAAATAGATTAAAGAAGTGCCAATAAAATAGCATAATTACAGAACAAAACAGTAGCTACTTATTTTTGGTGTTCCACATTTTGTAGCGTGCTGACAGTCTTGAGCAATTTAGTTTTGTGGTACAGCTGAAAGCAGGGATCAACACGCACACTCTTGTCTTTGTACCCCGCGTGTCTGTTACAGTCTTGATAGTCTTGTACAGTTGCTGGCTTCAGAGCATTTACATACTCATCACAGAAATCACCTGCTGGAGGATGAAGCATATTTGTCAACACGTTCACATTCTGTTTACTTTCCAGACTGTGTCATATCACCCTTCGCTGTATAATCTTTATGTTGCCCCCGTTCAGTCCGAGTTTCTCTGCACAAAATCACTAGGCATTCAATTATATTTTGGTCTGACAGTACCACATCAGTTTGTAGTCTTAGTATGTAAATTGTGAAATATAAGTTGGGAGAAGAGATGTCCCAATACAGTGGACTCCGGTTAAGCGGGACACATCGGGACTAGAACATTTTGGCCCAATTAAGCGGCTGCCCCAATTATGCGAAGTTCCACGTAAAGAATTAAAAACGGTTAAAACAAAATACAAACTCCTGTTTATTGAGATGATTTATTCAGCAAAAAATAAATACTGTAAATGAATTCTGGAAAAAATGGTACAGATCAGAAAAAAAAATATTTACGCTAAAAACAATTTTGATTTAATGTAGTTCTTAACAGTTAATGATGGAGGAATTTATCAAGCGTGCCCTGCCGTTGTCTGCTGATTGACTGCAACTGAACAAAATCAGTGCAGGTATCTAGTGCAGATATAGGACTGCCTTCATTGCCTTTCTGCATGAAGTAGCGTCCTGGGTTAATGATGGAGGAATTTATCAAGTGTGCCCTGCCGTTGTCTGCTGATTGACTGCAACTGAACAAAATCAGTGCAGGTATCTAGTGCAGATATAGGACTGCCTTCATTGCCTTTCTGCATGAAGTAGCGTCCTGGCACTCGCTCAAGCTCAGGTGTGTCGTCCTCATCACTTTCCTAGTCTTCTGATGTCTTTTGGTGTTTTGCTGCAATTTGTTGAACAATTGCACCCTCATAATCTTAATTTTCATTGTAACATTGAAGACTATTGTCGATGGATGCATACTCTTCGTAGTTTCTGATGTGTTGCACTTCCAAAACGGCGTAATTTTCACTATTGGTCGTAAGTCTTTTGGTGTTTTGCTGCAATTTGTTGAACAATTGCACCCTCATAATCTTAATTTTCATTGTAACATTGAAGACTATTGTCGATGGATGCATACTCTTCGTAGTTTCTGATGTGTTGCACTTCCAAAACGGCGTAATTTTCACTATTGGTCGTAACTGGCATCTCCAAGCCTGAATGCTTAAAAACACAGTGAGCAAAGCAGTTCTGAATAGTCTTGCTGCTTATTGCTCGCAAGCAGATTCGCTACACTGTCTGAATACGAACGTGTTCATTACTGAGTGAATCAGCGATGACTCACTGACTCCTCGACATGCCATAAGCGTGCCATTCCGATTAAATGGCATGGTGTCCCAAATAAGGGAAGCAAATAAACGGCTGCCCCGATTAACCTTGGCCCAATTAACTGGAATCCACTGTATTTCAGTCCTTTTAATCAGTTCTGTTAGATCGTCATTAGTTGCATTTACACTTTTCTTGTCTTTGTCTAAATACACTGTCCTGTTGTATGTATATCTCTCAAAATCTTATATCATGTCCCTTTGTTATCCAAAATGATTTGCTTCCCTGTGGTATTACAGTTCAAAAACCCTACCTTTGAAAAGTACAACTTCTGGGCACCGTATGTTCAGATGGGCTGTAGTATTTAGCATACACTTCATTGAGCTTTTGAAAAGTAGTTTTCATTTTCCGTAACCTGTCATAAGTTTAATATGTTTGTCGTCGTTGTCAGGAACATGTAGAAACTCTGTAGGATTTGAGGTTAGGTTTTCACGGCGGTGAGTCTGAAGATTGCTGTCTTCTGGGTTGTTGCGCTGTGTAGTCTGGTCGATGGTAACCAACGTTTCAGAGGTCATACTGCCTCCATCATCAGGGCGATGACGGGGGCAGCATGACCTCTAAAACAGTTGGAACCGTCGACCAGACGACACAGCGCAACAACCCAGAAGACAGCGATCTTCATGTAAAAACTCTTTAAAGAAATGTCGCTTGGCCTATGAGGTAACCTAGAATTTATTAGAGTGTAGGTACACACTAACATTTTGATAGGAATGAATATTTAATGATCTCGTAATGTGACTGGAAGTTTGTGCTGTGAACTTATAGATGAAATCATAAGTACAAATGATGTCACTCCTTTAACCATTAGAGTCAGATATGATTTTAGTTTCTGGAACCACCTGATGTCACTTGTGCGTGGTTCAAGTGGTTAACAATTCTTTAAAACTTTGTAGCTTCAGACACTTTTGATATTGAAAATGTTTATCAGAAGTGCGACTCTCATTAGAGAAATACTTTGGAATTTAATGTTTTGTGTTTGCACAAACACAAAACGATGTACTTTTCTGTGTGCTACATATTTCAAAATAAATTATTCTGGCAAAATAATCTGTTCTCAGTACGTCCATTTTGGGAACAGTAATTTTTTAAATTACATTTGTACTGATACTGAAAGGCAAAATGAACTACTTCTGTGCACAATAATACTTGAATATACTGGAGATAAATACCATGATAAGTATCATAATATTGCTTATAACTGTATTATCTTTGTTACAGCTTAACACCATATAAAATAAGATTCTTAATTTGGTGTGTGCCATCTTTAGATGTATTTTTCAGAATGTAAAATGTATGATGATTTTTGAAGACCTATAATTCAGTGATAAAAGAGTTCTCACTTATTCCACACATGTAAGCTGACATAACAAGAAAGCGAGAGGCATGTGAATAAAATCGGAATGTGAGGAGTGAGCTATTGGTTCAATGTGCGGTCTGCGGCTTGTATATGCGACAGGTGGCAGTGCTGCACCGAGCAAACATTTGCATACACAGCGCATGGGAAAAGTTTGATGTGTGTTTGATGTTTTTATTTGTTGAAAACTTATTATTTGTACTTGTTATAGAGTTTAAAAAATACACAGTTTAAATGAGATCACACAGAGTTTTATCATCAAATTTTAGTTGAAGTTTTAGTATTTGATTGGGTAGTTACGCAGAATGGTGAACTTCTTTGCGTTACCTACTTTCCTTGTTTTATAAGTAAAAAATATGTTATGGTGTCATCTTGTGAATGAGGCGCGCGTATGAGTGCACATTCTCAGCAGATAGACTTATTCTGTTGAAATCTGGTATGAATGTCGTCCCATTTTACCTGCTGATTAATTCTTGTCTGAGGTATAAGTAACAGTTGTGAGGAATGTAAAATAACAGCATAAAATATATTTCTTTCTTCGATACCAATAATTGAACTACTGTTAATATAAAATAAGCAAACAAACTATTAATTCTATAAAAAGGACACTAGTGCCATACACATTTCAACCTCAAGAGGTCATCATCAGTGGCAACAGGGAAATTAATTCATTTAATCAAAATGGTTTAAAAATGGTTTAGAAAACAAATAATGAACTGTAGTAACCAGTTGACGCGGCTGATTGCCCGAGAAGATTTTCTTGGATGCACTACTGATAATTTAATTTAAAGTGTTATATTTTACTGGGGACCTTTCTGTTTGTAGTCCTTTGGTATTGCTAAGATAGTGGATGAGATTATACCATGTCTGCTTCCTCCCTCATCCCTACCAATTCATTATATATGCTGTCGTTCGATACTGTATAATTGTGTCATTTGAAAGCTCGCTGAACAAACCAACAGTTTCAACCTTTCGATGCTCCCACTCCTGAAGAATGTGGCAGTCTGTAGCAAACAGTATCCATTCATCACCTTTTTGGTCATTTCACCGAAATTAGTGGTAAAGGTGACGGTACTTCCTGGGTGTTGGTTATCTGGCTGGCGTCAGATGTAGAGCGATTTAGATATGGAACGGTTGTCAGTGGGGATATTTCGAGCAAGGGTTTCAGGTGTAGCTATTCGTGGCGCTTTAAAGGGTAGCACTTCCCTTCAGTAATGTGGACGGATAATGACGTAAAACTGGTACAATTTATTTTTGCTGAAGTCGGTGTGATTTAACCGAATTCTCGATTTGTACGCTTAGGAGGGTTGACTTATGTGTAATGTTCCGGCCCGTGAATTTAAAACGAGAACTATCGTAAATACTTCTTGTGAGTCGAATACTCAGACCAAATTACTGTGGCGCGAATCGAGCCAAGGAAAACCCTGGTGCCTGGTGCACCCCCCCTTGCAGTGTCTGATATTCCGTTGCAATTGGGTAGTGGTTCGGTTACAGCCAAGAACATTCTTTAGGGGCATATTTCCGCTTGCTGGGTTCCAGGTAAGAACCACCTTCACATTCCGTGTTTGAACCTTTATCCGGATGTGAAATTCGGATTTTTAATTAAATATTTTTCTAGTAATCTTTTTGAAGTCATCCATGATATGCAACGCTGAAGCTTGGTGTACATTCTGCATTGTGTCATTGAATTCCGGCGACTTGTTAGTTACATTTTCTGTTGCGTCCGGGGTTTGAAACATGGATCCGAATGAGAGAGACAGCAGTTCGGTTGGATTTGACAAGGCTGACACTGCATCGGTTCCAGAGGTAAATATGGATTGATGATGACGGGAAAACCGAAGGACTCTGGTAAAACCATCCCCAGTGCCACTTTATCCACCACAGATACCACATGGACTGCTGTTGGGCAATGTTTTGTTTTTCCCCACAGAAAGGGCACTGTTTGCTAGGGTACATGTTTAATTTTGAAAGCCTACAAATAGGATGCTGGGTTCTTCGTAATTGCTCTTTTTCAATAGGATGGAGCTCCTCATTGGCCACGAGAGAGTGACCTTGAAAGCAACATTTGGCAATGGTTGGTCGAGGAAGTCCATGAAATAGTTTTTCTGCATTGCATATTTTATTTTTGGATAAATGATTACAAAGCTTCCAGAATTATTGACTGTTGCATTTGGTATGAGTACATTAGGTTTGGATTTGTTTACTTGAGTTGGGATGTGAATGTTCATGATGGGTTATTGTCGGTTCATTTGCGTTCTAAAATTCTGTGCACGAAGTTTTATTATGGCGTCACTATGACCCCACGTGATCACAATTTTATGTGGTGCTAAAATGTTACTGTTGAAACAAATCCTCAATATATCTTCTTGCTGCGTCATTTCTCATGAAGTTGCTTCAGCACCGCGAAATAATAATAAACTGTGTTCAGCATCTGAAAGAATCAGAGGCAGATGTTACGCTTTTCCAGCGAAAATTTGTTTTGCCATAACCTCTCCTTTGTCCAACGGTTAGTTTCAGTCAAACCTTCGGAACGATTGGCCACATTGAAGCTACAGTTCACGGTGGATATCGTATTAAGAGCGTGTGACCGGTGAGAAATGGTCTTTATAAAAATTGTTTATATTGCCGTTGTGTATCATAGTTTTGCTACAAACCGGGTGAAATTAAATAGATTGCTTACCTTCGCAAACGATTCCATGGATACTATGTACAGTTTTCCGGCTGTGAGGCTCACAGGTCTCTGTGACCTCGTGATCACTTGCAGCATTGTCCGCTTGAAGCGCTCCGAACGGTAATACCACTTACATCCATACACAGCTTGCTGTACTTCGAAACTCTGCAAACACAAACGTTCTGTACTAATAGAAACTAATTATTTCAAGCTTAGAGTAAGAAGTTAACCTACAACGTTTCCTGATTACCGAAATATTCCTGCATTATATTAATATTTCCTGTTCTAGGAAGGCGATACTTTGTTTCAAAACAGCTTTTGAGTGTCATTATCGTATATTAGACAACTATTTATGCTATAAGGAAACCATTTGTAGTTCTTTGGAAAGTGACAAGTTATCATAAGAATATAAAATATGCAAATTATTTCTCTGTCACTTGTCTTAAGAATAAATAACTTTTAATAAAACAGAAATCATCTCTTCAAAGAAAGCCTTAATAGCTTTATTCTGTGTAGGATACTCAGTGTAAGTGCTGTATTTTGACGTCTCTTGGTGAATAATTATTGACAAAACTGAGTCCATGAAACACAATTTTTTTTAATATTTTAACTTTTATTTTGACGTCTCTTGGTGAATAATTACTGACAAAACTGAGTCCATGAAAAACAATTTTTTTTTAATATTTGAACTTGCGAATACCTTCTGAATAAGTACGTCTCCTTGCGAGCAGAAGAAAAATGGACCCACCAGGACACAGAGAAGCCCAAAGCAGAACTTAAGGAAATTATTCTGTTCTTCCCAAGTCTGCAGGAAAACAAACACATTTTAGTATTTCGCTGTTCCATGTGGAAACGAGATTCTTGAAGGATTATCAGTACAGAAATAATGACGTCTATGTGAATACGTACGAGCTGTCTTATTTGTTGTAGTTGATAAAGAAAGCTTAACCATTTTTAAATACGTGTGTGTGATAATGAAGGACAAATATTAACGTGCATAACATTGGACTAACAATGAAGTTATCCTCATTGCCTGTTCGTAATATTAATGAATGTTCAGAAGTTTTGGATTGTAAATCAATTGGTTAATTAAAATCAATTATAAAAACTTATTCGTTTTAAAGTCAGGTATACGAATCATTAAAACAACGGTGATGATTATAGAATTGTTCACGTTTTCTTTGATACGCCTTGTTGTAGTGGTCTGATTTATCGACATTTCAGATAAAATTTTACTTTACAAATTCGGTTTTATAGTAGACTGAGTTCTCATATTAATTGCCGTCATCTTTAGGAATGAAGAAAATTCTTCTCCGGTGGCTTATGGTTGGACGAGAGAAAACAAAAGTTTTGCACAGCTCTAGTTTAGATGATTGGATGAAAAGATTACAGGTTAGGAATTCAAGGATTGAAAATACAATCTGGTTGGAGTGAAGCCTGCTTAAGAACAGTACACAGGTTCATCTGAGCTTACAACAGTAAATTAAGCTGTCTTAATAGAAGATTTTCGAAATGTGTGTGTGGCCACTGTAAGTAATTCAAAATGTGAAACTTACGAGCACCATCTGGAAAGCCATGACGCACATCATGACTTGAGCGCTGAAGAAATATAAGAATAGCAGTGGACTGAGAAGGTCGTTCAGTTGCTTGGCGAATCTGCGGTCAGAAGAAAATTTGCCTCTTACACGAGATAAACAGTAAAATAAGTAGCCATGTCTGATGTTTACAGAATGTAGTTTATTCTTCGTAAATTAAAGTAAGTGAAGTTTTTAATGAATATACTTTCAACGAATGTGGTTTAATATGAAATACGAGTCAGATTCCAGACTGGACGAGAACTTTCCACTTTCTCCCCTTCCTGTTAAAGTATCGAGGCAGAATTTTAACAAAAAATCTGAGACAATTTTATTAGTATTTAAAATATCTTATTTCCTATCTCGTTCCTTGCTTGTGAGAACAATTGATTACCATATCTTTTCCGACAAGAGAATAATAAATCTCATGACAGGTGGAAACGTGGTCCAGAGACGTAGGAAATTATTACCCTTCCTAGAATACACACGCGTAGAATACATGAACATTATATTGTATTCTGAAATTTGTTGGCTCAGTTGCAAAAGTAATTTTATTAATTTATTCCAAATAAGAAATGTAGTTTTACAGTAATTGCAAAAAAAAAGGTAAAAACTTATATTCTCTCACTTGAAGAAACGGTGAAAAATGCACTTTGGCTTCCTTGGCAAATCTTACAGAAATTCTGAACTGTGTAAACTTGAAAGAAATAATGAGCGCCTTGTAAATCGTATTGCTACCTGCACAAAAATTATTACGCCCAATTTATAATTGTGAACCACATTTTTGATTTTAAAACAAATTACTGTTTGGCCTTAAAAATTCATCTTAATAACATTTTTTTTTGACAATGAAATTTTGTGAATAAAATATTGCCAATTTATAATTGTGAACCACATTTTTACTTTTAAAACAAATTACTTTTTGGCCTTAAAAATTCCTCTTAATAACATTTCTTTGACAATGAAATTATATGAATAAAACGTTGACATGTATTGAGCAAAGTTTTTTGTTTAATCCTAGACTGCAAATATATCTCTAGGTAGTTTTATAGCCATTTTGTGGATATTTAATCACTTTTTTAGCGTTAAAATTTTTCCCACATAAAACTGACCTTCAAACACAAAACTGGGACATTTTAGCTACCGTTACGTGTACTTTAATTGCTGGTAGGACAATTTAACATTTTTAGAATGCACATCTTCTTATAGAATAATTACCACCATTCATTAATTAAAGTCCACAAAAAATCTTTTATTTCAAAATCTGTGAAACACGGTAATGTAATGAGGACCTACTCACGCAATAATCATCTGATGATGACGTATGACAGCCACAAAGTATGGACGTAAATCCGTTGGATCATCATGTTGGTGCATCCACCTCATCACCTTACCTTCAGACACGTCCATTAGAACTGTATTTGTGAGGTCCTCAGTTTTTTCAAATGGTAGCAGATCTTGTGACCTCACGGCATCATCCATGTGGTTTATTGTGGCCAGGAGGATCTCGAACTGACCGGTGGTTTGCACAATCAACGCCACAAAAACAGTGTTTACCGAGGTGTAGTAAGAGGCAGTGATTAAGAACACAAATGCCTGACCCATGTAGATAAATTCTCTCGCAGGGGATTGTGTAGCATCCAGAGGCAGCCACATAATAGATATAAGGCTCTTCCAGAATTCCTCAACCTCATCCTCAAGCTGAGTGTCATGTTCTGGAATGTCCTCGTCAACTGCGAGGAGCATGCTGACAAGAGGTGAAATACTCCAGCTAAAGGGAACCATGTATACGATGAACAACATGCTCAAAGTGAGTGACTTGCTGCGTTTTGCTGTCTGTTTGGCAATGAGGTCGCACTTAGCACCAGCCCTGGGGAGAAGACCACATGCGTTATCAGGAGATATAACAATAAATTCCACGTACATTCAGAGTAAACATGTAATACGATAACAAATGTAGCTGCAAAGCACTTCGTACAGAATCAATGGGAACTTGGAACACAGAACACAAAACCAATTGAGGTCTAGAATGGATGTCACAAAAGGAGATGACGTGTCACTTAAAACAAGATTCAAGGAACTTAAATCATGAAATCATAGAATAAAGAAACCAAAATATCTTAGAACTTGTAATACAAAAATAAAGATAACACAAAACACAGGAAGAGAACACGTGAAATGTGAAACACCAGAATTATGAATTTTGCACGCAATCCAGATCTGAAGACTGTATGAAATGCAAGTCAGTAAATGTAGAGAAAAGACAATCACCATCTTTAAGGAACAAAGTACAGGAGCGATCTGGTGTTTCGGGAAGAAAGTACAACACTGGGGGATAAAATCCTAGTTCTCAACTATTTGTAGGAAATCAAATTAGCGAAACAAAGCAGGCCCTATATAATACACCAGGAATCAATGCTATTAACTCAAATCTTAGTGTTACTTTTTCTAGCATCATCATTTTAATGATCAGGCTGTGAAAATCAATCTTATTCTTCTTTTGATCTCCATGTTCAAGTAAGGAAGTAGCTTGCGAATACAGCGTGAAGTTATCTGTTCACTTCTATGCTGTACTGAGATTTAGAATGTGTAGAGCTTTGTCTCACCTTCATAACATGGTACAGCGATGGGTTAATATTTTTTTTTAAATTAGCCACCAGTCGACCAATATGGATTTTAATTGAATAAAAATTTTCTTGGATATTATCCATCGTCTAGTAAATATAAAACGTAAAACGACGTTTCGGAGATGGGACTATATCTCCGTCTTCAGGTTCCTACACAGTTGGGCCCACTAGATAGAGCTAATCCCTATCTCCGGACCGAATAAAAATAATCTTGGATATTATCCATCGATCTAAAACTTCTTGACGATGGTGAAGAGTCAATTGAATAAAAATTCTCCGAAACGTCGTTTTACGTTTTATATTTACTAGACGATGGATAATATCCAAGAAAATTTTTATTCAATTGACTCTTCACCATCGTCAAGAAGTTTTAGATTTGAAATATGGATTTTGCTCATGATGTGCCTTTTTAGGCCTCATGTTTAGCAGAACAAACCTTGGCATATGATCTATCATGTCCTGAAGTTTCTCTACCAGCTTCAGGAAGTCCTTCTTCCGTGCAATGATGTAGAGTGCTTCTCCGTAGAAAGTGACATTACCAACTAAAGTAAACATGTTGTTGGTAATAACCACGAGGTCTCCCCAGAAATGGTAGAAAGCCGTCAGTTCCCCCAGTAGGATTGGTATAAACACAATGATGGATGTGGTCATGTACATTGAGAACAGAGACTTCTTCCAGAGGCTGCCAGAAACAGATGTGGGTTCAACAATGCCGGATAATGTTAGAAGGCGCAGGTTCAAGGACAGGGCCTCCATCCTGTAGATTTCCAAGAAACATAATGTTGAATCAAATTATGGGCATCAAAATCTTACCACGAAATTCTTTACGTCTGTGCAGATGCCTTGGTTTATTGTGAGGCAAGATTCTACCACAGTTTGAAACGCAGTTACTGAGAGTTAAGAATTTAAAATAATTCAAAAGAAATCGGTTAGATTTTACTTTTAAAAAAGAATTGATCCATTGATCTCCTGAGGAATGACTTAAGTTAGTCTATTCTGGACTTCTGGATTGTCGCACCTTATGGAGGTGGGTATTTACCAGCATTTTGGAGGAATCTGTTGTCTGCATCTTCAGGCCAGCCTGAAGGTAGAGAAAACAGCCGAGGACTTCCCAATTGCGATGGGAAATGCTTTCGGCTGGAAGTCAGTATCTCGTAAAAGCAGAATGCTAGTTGCAGCGTATACACAGAGGCAAATTAAGCTTTACTCTCTGATGTGAAATTACAAATTAACTTTCATCGTATCACACAATCAGAAGAGACAAATGAATGTTCAGACTCTAAATGTTCAGGATCTTATTATAATAAGAAGAATAGAAAGATGTTAGCAAAAAGGTAATATGTGAATCCTAATGGCAATTATACAATTGTTGTGGTAGATCGTACCTAAATAAACACAGGTTTAAATTTTACAAATATCTTATTTCTTTACGTCTCGTTTAATAATGTTTGATAATAACACTTGTTATGTAGTATGAAATGGTAGGATGAAGTTGGAAAAAAATGTTGAAGGAAATGGTCACATCTCAGTTTGAGTTAGGATTTCTACCCCACCCGTGATAACCAAAGGACAGACCATTTCCAGGCTGAAATTTGAGCCTGGGAACTCCTAAATATTGCAACCTAATCGGTCATTACACAGCAGGTTCTTTGTTTAACGACACATGATGGATTTATTCCATACTATTAAAATTGTTTATATCCTGGATTAACGTCTGTCCCTTCGCAAATCACAGTTCTGGTTGTCTGAATATAAATGATTTCTATTGAATAAAAATTTTACTTGGATATTATCCATCGTCTAGTAAATATAAAACGTAAAACGACGTTTCGGAGATGGGACCTGAAGACGGAGATAGAGCCCCATCTCCGAAACGTCGTTTTACGTTTTATATTTACTAGACGATGGATAATATCCAAGTAAATTTTTATTCAATTGACTCTTCACCATCGTCAAGAAGTTTTAGATTTGATAAATGATTTCTGTTTTTCCTGGCTCTTGAATCCTGAAATGTTATTAACGATTTGTTATAAAAGTATAAATTTTACGGATAACAGAATTTGAACACTCTTGCAGAAAGAAATGATGCAATTTGTTAAATGAAGTTACACAAAGAGAATCCCAATTTCATTATAAAACGCACTCCCAAATTAAAAAGTTGCACACGAAGTCCTGATCTTTTATATAAATGAAAATATATTTAGTATTAGGGTACAGAATTGCACTACCTGTTTTTTCAGAGTCTGTTTTATTGTTTGTTGACGCTTCTGTTAGAGTTTGCTGGGACGCACATCCAACAAACAGCCTGGATAGATTCAGTCGTACTCTGGGGTCAAAATTAATCACGAAGCTCGCATGTCACATACAAAGATTTGAACAAAAATTTATCCAATTTATACTTACACATTAGACATTTATACTGCAGTGGGTTTAAACATCAAAGAGAATATCAGATTACGTATTAATACTAAAATTATTCTGAAGTGATCAATGAATCATCTGAATAATTTTAGTGTAGTGGTTAGTGCTTTTGATTTGTAATCCAGTGGTCCCCGACTCCTGGATATATGGAGTTCTCACATGAAACATTATGTTGAAGTCTGTGTTTTGTCTGATGTATGATGCAAAGCAGATTTCAGGAGTTGGTTTTACTTTAGTATTTAGGTGATTGGTTGAAATTGTATTAACAAATATTTGATATTTTTCATTACGAGGAATGTGACAGTCGATGAGGACATTTCATATAACGGATTGGTGTGCTAAACAGTGGAGCTGCAGTGATTGGGAAACCAGTCTGGTATTCAAGACATGCATTGACAGAAGCTGTGAACTGAATAATAACACTTATCTCAGACCAAAGATAAACAGACGTCCATCTCGTACAACATCATGTTTAAAATATGGCTATTTAGTTAGCAAATCTCTGCCCCGAAGATCAGCTATTCTGACTGGTTTTTTAAATGTTTTTACTCAGTTCCTCCAGGCGTCTTTTAGGTAACCACCAGAAAGGCTGCCTCTTACGAACTAGGCAACACCAAGTTGTGCTGTATGGGTGCGAAACTTGGTCTGTCTCTTTGACGGAGGAACATAGATTAAGGGTCTTTGAGAACAGACTGTTGACGAGGATATCTGAACCTAAAAGGGAGGAGGATGGATCACGGAGAAAATTACATGATGATGAGCTCCAAGTCCTGTACTCCTCACCTGACATTGTTAGGCTGATTAAATCGAGGAGGATGAGGTGGGTTGGACATGCGGCACGCATGGAGCAGGGGAGGGGTGTTTATAAGATACTGGTTGGGAATTCAGAAGGGAGGAGACCGCTGGGAAGACCTAGGCGTAGATGGTAGGATGACGTTAAGATAGACCTTAGGGAGATAGGAATCGATGGATCGAACTGGATGCAGCTGGCTCAGGATAGGGTCCGGTGACGGGCTTTTGTGAACACGGTGATGAACCTTCGAGTTTCGTAAAACAGTGGGATATTCTTTAACTTGCCGAATATACAATCGACTTTAAAAAATATATCTTGCACCATAGAGTGAGTGCAACTTTTGTTTCTGAATCGTCCTCAGAGCGGTTTATTCTCAAATTGGCGGCAGGCGGAGGTATTCGAGGTTTTATTATTTCGAATTTTGATCTGTGGACTTGTAGACCGCGTAGTCAATGCATTATACTTCATATACACAACTGTAATTTATACTGAACGGGAAAATGTACAGGCCTTCATAGGAAGATATCATGTAGTAAAAGAATTATTTCACAACTTATCCTCCCCTCTCCTCTCTCTCTGCTGAGGCTACGGTCATTGGCGTCTGCAAACGTCAGACTTCTTCCAAGTAAGAGTCGCCGTTTCCTTGTTTGTGGCAATTATGTTGTAATCTTTCTGCGAATATCTCTTTCGTAATTACGTATTTCGTTTTGAATAGTTTGTAGCTACCCATATTTATATCGCAGAAAATGAATATGACATTTGGAACGTGGAATGTCAGGAGTCATTACGGTTCTTTGGAAGTGGTATCAAGAGAATTACTGCAAATCTTATTTATTGGAAATTCAAGAGGTCAGACGGGCGAAGTTAGCTAGCTATAGAATATCATGTGTAATACTAACGTGTGTCATTTCTATTTATGTACATGCATCAATGCTGATAATAAGGACAGTTTTATGAGGAACTTTATCGTGTGTTACATCAGTTTCCTGAGCAGAGGGAATATACGAGTATCAACGCAAATGTGGGGACGGAACATATTTTAAGACCGAAAATTGGGAACGATAGTTTATACAGAACTGTCGGTCATGACAATTGAATTAAAGAAGTAAACTTTACCACGTGAAAAATTGTAATTAAGAGTGTAACGTTCCCACGTCGTACCACTGTTCTCGTTATAAAAATTAGTCGAGTTGATCACCATTTGATAGACGGCAGTCTAGTGTGGTTGATATCTCAAATCTTTAGAGGAGTTTATTGTGATAATAATCGCTGTTTGATCGTTGGAAAAGTAGGGAAAAACTATCGGTAAGTAAACAAACAACACTGAATTCTTGTACAGAAATTTCATCTGATGAAGTTAAACGATGCAGAAGTTAGTATCAGAATATCAGACACGTTTGCAAAGTTGCATGGATATCAATAGGGGTTGGTGTACAACAAAGAACCTGGAACAATCCAGTTACAGATAATCGTTGCAATACTGTATCATCTGTCTCCACGGTGGTCTAGCGGTCAGAACGCTGGCCTTGTAATCCTGGGGTCTCGGGTTCGATTTCCAGCGGTGAGCGAATTTATAACTTGTGTTGGGCAAGGCCGTGGTCTAGGCAACACGGAGTTTTCCTCCATGGCATCCCAACAATTACTCCATTCACACACAGAAGAAGGCAATGGCAAACCACTTCTGGATCATCTGCCAAGAACGTATATGAACAGGTCCCAGTCCAAGAAAAGGATGAAAGGATCCTGTTCATATGGACCTGTCGTCAGACAGAACACTAAATAATAATAATAACTGTATCATCTATGAATATAATCCCATGTAACTCATTAGCATACAGTGGCTATGTTCTGCATTGTGACTGACTTAATTTATTGGTAGTGCCCTCGCTATCATCAAACAGTAAGATTATTCACATCTCAATAACATAACTGTTTAACGTAGCCTAACTTTTGCGTAACAAAATCAAATTTTAGATGAATTGCAGTTTAACTCAATGTGTGTTGATTGTCGAAATGTATTTGAGGAATAAATTATATAAAATTTGTAGTAGGAAACTTGGTTCATATTTTTAAATTTGTAAGGGATCTGTACTTTATGGGATTAAATAATTTATTAGTTAAACGTATAATTTATAATATCACCGCCATCTTGTCAGTATTGATTTATCATAGACCATTCTTCCTCTACTCTAATATTTAATACAATTTGAAAGATGCGCTGTTTCTTTATCTGCAGCTTTGAGAGATGGCTTTAGATCCGATCTATCATAACCAGTCTCAGGTTCAAGCACAAATGCAATTGTTATTGCAACTCCTGACACAAGTACGAGGATCTGGAAACAAGGGCTGCTTGGAGTTACTGGACGTGTTACAGCAAGAGAGACTAGCTCATCATTTGGAACGATCCCGCTGTGAACAGCTGGAGTTGCAGTTGAAGAATGCAACAATATTAATAGAAAATATGAAAGGAACAAATGATGAAAGAAGTATTAGTTGCATATCCGATGAAGACCTAGAAAATGAGAAGTTATCGGGGCTGCAAGTAGAGGTAGGCCTACAAGAGAAAGTTAATTGCAATTTGTTAGATCTGTTTGGCTCTCAGAGGGCTGTTACGCCACGGATTATTATTATTATTTACCTTCTGTAACACCAAACCTAGTGTCACATCAGTGTCACAGTTATGGATAATTTATATTTTGCACAGATGATTCCATTTTCGATTTACCTTGTTGAAAAATTTTACGATTCCATCATTAAATTTTCATACTTGAGGTAGCTTATACAGGTAGCCCTCGATTTGCGCCGATTCAGAATAACGCCAATTTTGAAACCAGAAAGTCAAAAAAATATATTTTACAATTATTTATAACGTTTTACAATGTTTATCGTAATGATTCTTATACTAAATCGTAATTCTTACATCGCTGATTTTGAATAAAAATTATAAATACAGTCATCTCTGCAATTACGTGTTTCGTTAACGCGAATTTGCTCCATTGACATCGATGAATCGGTAAAATCTGTTTGTGAAATGCAAACTTTTGCATATGCGAGTTTGCTCTTATGCAATTTCATTCTTGGCGCTTTAAACTTTCAAAGGACTAATTTAATCTCCGCGGAGGTCCCGGGGTTATTTTTACTACGCGATCGGCGTCTCATATTAACGTAACTATCGCATAACAGCGGTGATGACTGTACACATCAGTTACATGAAATAATCGCAGTCTCTCGCTGGGACCAACGAATTGCCAATTGTAAGTGTATAAAATGTATTTTTTAAATTCCCTTTATTTTATTTACGTTATTTCAGAGCTTTAAATGTAATGCAATTTTATTACTCGTCAATGTTTGGGTGTTGGGAACGCACGTCATTGACTTCACATTGATTTACATTATAAAAGAGTTTCGATTTATGCCGATTCAGTTTACGCCGGTTTCATCCAGGAACGCATCTCCGGCGTAAATCGAGGCCTACCTGTATTTAAGGATTATAATTATATTACTTCAGCTTGTAAGCAATCAGTCGTCTGGCTTATTCATTGACTGGCATACTAACACACATTGCAATAGACTGAGTAAGAAAAGTGAACACATAATTAAGTGACATCTGGATGTCTATTTGTCCTGATGCTTAATGTCCCAAACTACTAAAAGTTTTCAAATAATTTTATTTTGTTCTGTATGTATTCACTATGAACCTTAAATTCAGAGTTATCAGAACGGGGCCAACAAATAAACCAATAGAGATGTGTGCTCTGATGGAGTACATGCTTTCCAAATATATTTTTTGAAATATATTTTCATAATTGGCCTTCATATTAAGTTATTGTAGAAAAACCTGGTGTTCCAAACTCATATTGCTGTATAGCTAATAGCTATAAGATCATCACAGAGCAGAATTCCATTATCAATTTTCATTGCATTTCGCTAAATATTAAAAATTATACAGATAGAAGTTTCAGACCTCATTGTGCCTTATTCACAAAGTTTACTTACAATAATCCATTTCAGAGAAATGAGTGGAATTTTATTCAAGTGTATGTAAAATACCAGTTGCTGCATGAGATGTATAAAATAAAATTAAAAATTACTTTGAAACTCATTGAACTCGAAGGCAGACAACACAATTGCATTCATTCAAAAATTAGAAAACTGTTAAAACAAAATTGTTTTAAATAATCATAATTTGTACTTATTCTGATGTGTTATATCAATTAAGTCTTGTGATAGTCGTATATTTCTTTATATGATCAAGTGTTCTTACACATTAAACAATGAAACAATTTAAAATTTTGTTGAAATACGCAACAAAATTTTGGTCGATGGAAATATAATTCTTCCCATAAAAAGCAGAAACAATGTAAATTTTGTGGTTACAGCTATATCACGAGAAGAATCAAACACTGGAGCTTAAAAGAGCTCTAGACCTGGAAAAGCAACTTGTCTCACGATTGCAAGATTTAGTGGATTTGAAGGATGATTTGCTGAACAGTACGAGGGAACACAACCAGAAGCTTCAGCAAGAACTGAATTCCTCACACGAAGCTGAGAAAAAGCATGTAAGTATGCATTAATGTGTCATAGTGTCTGAGCTAGGGGTTACGTTGGCACGTCTTGGTTTGTTATTAAATAATGTCTGTTGACAGAAAAATGGAATAATTATATAATTTCAGAGTTTATTTGGAACCGCGTGTGTTCCCATGTATGTGTCACAAACGAACGCTTAAAACAGCACAGTGAGGCAAAGTGAACAATAATTTGGAATTAAACCTTAAATGGATCAGTTGAATCAGTAATGAAAGAGTAACTTTGTAGGATTTTGGGTTTTCACGGCGGTGAGTCTGAATATGGCTGTCTTCTAGGTTGTTGTGCCGTGTAGTTTGGTAGAAGTTTTAGCGATGTTTCAGAGATCATTGCTGCCCAGAGTATCATAATCGGGCAATTTTTATAATTTTGCATATTTTGGTCAAAAATACTTATGGATTCTTTGTGTGTTATGTCAAAATATTTAATTCTATAAAAATATCTTATTTACAGGTTGAAATGGAAGCAGATGACACTGTCCAGAAATCACGTCGCTCTCTTCATAACACAACGACCCAGTTGCTAGATTTAGGCCTATGCAACATGCCACAAAATCTTAAAAAAGGTGATTCTGATGAAGCCATTATTGGTAATGCATCTCTCCACTCAGCAGCCGGTGAAGGAAATCTAATGGCAGTACTCCATTTGCTTGACAGCGGTTCTGATATGAACAGTGTTGATGAGGGAGGAGAGACAGCTCTTCACATTGCCACCAGGGCGGGCCACCAGGATGTGGTTCAGCTGCTGGTATGCAAAGGAGCCAACGTGAACTCACAGAATGCAAACAAATGGACTCCACTGCACATAGCAGCAGAAATTGGTCGTCTGGACATAACAGTTGTTTTGCTTCAAAACGGAGCCACTGTTGATATTCAACGCAATGATGGCTGCACGCCACTGTATCAGGCAGCCTATTTTAACTCTAATGAAATAGCAAGTGTATTGATTGATTACAATGCCACCATAGACATGAGATGTAACTCAGGTTGGGCCCCACTTCATGAGGCAACAGAAAAGAATCATGTTGCAGTTGCAAAAGTGCTTCTCAAAAAGGGGGCGGATCCTAATATTAAGCGAAAAGATGGTTGTACGCCATTGTACCAGGCTGCATGGTTCGACTACAAAGAAATGGCTGAATTGTTGTTGGCTCACGGAGCTAGAAACGATATTCGCTGTGATTCGGGCTGGACGCCATTACATCAAGCTGCTGAATCAAACCACTTACAAGTTGCTGAAATTCTACTTCAGAAGGGATCAGATCCTAATATTAAGCGAAAAGATGGTTGTACGCCACTGTACCAGGCTGCATGGTTCGACAACAAAGAAATGGCTGAACTGTTGTTGGCTCACGGAGCTAGAAACGATATTCGCTGTGATTCGGGCTGGACGCCATTACACCAGGCTGCTGAGTCAAACCACTTACAAGTTGCTGAAATTCTACTTCAGAAGGGATCAGATCCTAATATTAAGCGAAAAGATGGTTGTACGCCACTGTACCAGGCTGCATGGTTCGACTACAAAGAAATGGCTGAACTGTTGTTGGCTCACGGAGCTAGAAACGATATTCGCTGTAATTCGGGCTGGACGCCATTACACCAGGCTGCTGAGTCAAACCACTTACAAGTTGCTGAAATTCTACTTCAGAAGGGATCAGATCCTAATATTAAGCGAAAAGATGGTTGTACGCCATTGTACCAGGCTGCATGGTTCGACAACAAAGAAATGGCTGAACTGTTGTTGGCTCACGGAGCTAGAAACGATATTCGCTGTGATTCGGGCTAGACGCCATTACACTAAGGTGCTGAATCAAACTACTTACAAGTTGCTGAAATTCTACTTCAGAATGGATCAGATCCTGACATTAGGTGCAATGATAGCTGGGCACCATTGTACCAGGTTGCATGGTTTGGGTATCAGGAGTTAGCCAATTTGCTCATATGTTGGGGTGCCAATCCTTATATTCCTGATAAAAATGGGAAAACTCCAAGAATTATTGCAAGCGAAAGGAATAATTTAAGTGTTGTTGAGTACCTACAAAGGATTAAAGACATTCGAACACGCACTGAAGTAATCTTTGTTTTTTTTTATATATGTTTTTATGTTTCGTTTAAAAACTATTGTTTGCTCTCCACAGGCTGTTATTCAAAACTTCCTCAATTCTTTCTTCACTGTCTGTGGCAAACTACAACAATATAGTTTTAATACGTACAAGAATGTTCGCGACGCTCCAGGCCATAGCACATCCCCGTCGCCAACTCTGTCGTGAGTACTCGTTCCTAATGCTAGCTGGCTTCAAAGGACACTTAGATGGAAAGAATTATTTTATAACACAACTGAAGTGTTCGAGATAGCAATTGAACTGCTTTACTCTCCTTACACATCTGCATTTCAAATAGGTAGATAGGAAGAAACTATAATCTCGAGCTCATCTTTGAAATTTAAAACAGTGAGATCGAGGGCCATCTGTTGTTTCAGATGAATCTATGCTATGTGGGAAGAGTCTTCAGAGGAGAATGTAATTCGTGTTATGTAGGGACTGAGATCATGTATAGTATTCCGCGATTTTATTCTATTTCATCTGCATTACTGAATCTAAAAATAAGTCAATGATTTGAGATATTTAATGCTAGGGGATTGATTCCTAACGCCCTAGTAATTTGTCACATAAAACTTGGCCACGTTATGAGTTTATTCAGTTAAAGTGTTAGGTATAATAACATAACCTACAAATAAGTCATGTAATCAGTGTTTAGTTACACATTTTTGTATTTCTACACGACAGAGACGTTCTATTGCATTATTATTTGGCTTGTGATGTTTCTCTTAATATAGTTATCATTGTGTAGTCTTATATTTAATTATACTTGTGTTTCTTATCATTGACGGAAACTGTATGGTCCATTGAAGTAATGATGTTGCTATGAATTGGCCAATTAACAACTCAACACTGCAAAAGTTCGTAAGGTATTAAAAATTGTACTTTTGTTTGTCCTCAAACATAACGTTTTTAATGTTGATGATAATGATTAAACACGTTAACCTACCCTCGGTGAGTAACTGACAATAGTTTATCAACGATAAGAATCATGCCATTTTTAGAACACTGATTTTGAGCAGAATTAACATCAGACTACAAAAGTTTATGATCATGAAAGTTGTTAATACGAATATGTTTTTTTTTAAATCATATGAAAACAAGAGTCACAAATAGAATCATTAATAAATATATAAATCAGTAAGTGTGCTGAAGAGGATCCAAGTGGAACTCCATACTTCGCAACATAAGACATAGTACAAGAGACTAGAACAAACGATTATCAAAAGTCCGAAGTTGGTAAGCTTATGAGAAGTAAATTAAGGGGAATAATATCACAAGCATTACTTACTTAAGAAGACTGTCTTGTGGTTGTAGCCGTGGAGTCTGGTAGACGTTTATGGACGTTTCAGAGGTCCTTGCTGCCTCCATTATCAGGACGATGATTGAGGGAGGAAAGTTATATAATGTCTTACCTTGTTCCAAGGAAAGACAACACAAGTGCTCGGGAAAAAATACATTAAATTATCAGACGTACGGAACAGTTCGCCTGAAATACATTAAGAGACAAAGATAAACAAAAAAACTCTAGTAACAAACATGATATTAATAAAAAATGTATATGCCATCGGGAGAAGTAAGCGTTTGCGTGATGCCTTCTTCCAATTCTTGGATGTTTACAGTCACTTAAAACGGAACTTTATTTTACAAAACTTTAATTCAGTCTTACGAACTAAGAGTTTCACAATTTTATTTATCTTTTGCACAGTTGACTCATTCGCCACGGTGGTCTAGCGGTTAGAACGCTGGCCTTGTAATTCCTGGGGGTCTCGGGTTCGATTCCCGGCGGTGCCCGAATTTATAACTTGTGTTGGGCAAGGCCGTGGTCTAGGCAACACTGAGTTTTCCTCCGGGGGCTTCCCCGGTTTCTCCGTGGCATCCCAACAATTACTCCATTCACAC